CAGCCAGATGAAAATGAAGAATGGTGCTAAGAGACAAACTGCCAAGAGACAAACTGTGAAAAAACTACACACAACAACTCATCGTAACTCCAAAAAAACAACAATAAAAATAGACAATGATAATATTAAGAGACAAATTGCAAATGAACTACATACATCAGCTCGTCGAAACTTTGAAAGGAGAAGAACTATAATCAAAGGATTCGGAGACTTATGGCAAATCGATCTTGCTGAAATGCAACCATATGCTGAAGAAAACGATGGATATAGATATATTCTTTTTGTTATTGATTGCTACTCTAAGTATCTTTGGACTGAACCGATCAAAGATAAAACAGGCAAGGTGGTTAGTGAAGCTATGAGAAAGATATTGGAAGAGGCAAACTACTCACCAAAACATATTCAAAGTGATGCTGGAACAGAATTTTATAATAAATCATTCACAAAATTGATGACAACCTATGGAATAAATCACTATTCTACATATAGTACTAAAAAAGCTGCCATTGTTGAGCGAGTCATCAGGACTCTGAAGAATTGGATATATAAAGAATTTACAGCTCTGGGTGAATATGCATGGTTAGAGAAATTACCCCAACTGATCCATGAATATAATCATAGGAAACATCGTACTACTGGAATGAGACCTATAGATGTTACTCCTACAACATATTTGAAAGTGTATAGTAATCCGAAACTGGCTCCAAAACCAAAGTTCAAAAAAGGTGAAATCGTCCGGATAAGTAAATATAAAGGCGTTTTCGAAAAAGGATTCACAGCGAATTTTTCTACAGAACTCTTCAAAATAAATAAAGTGAAGAGATCTAATCCTACTACATATCTACTCGAAGACATGAAAGGGAATCCAATAAAAGGAGGTTTTTACGGGAAGGAAATACTGAGAACAAAAAATCCTAATGTATACTTGATCGAGAGAATCCTGGAGCACGATGAAGAAAATAACAAAATATTCGTTAAATGGTTGGGATATTCAGATGAGCACAATTCCTGGATTAAAGCAAGAGATATCATCTGAAATATATAAAATTGAATAATACAAATATGATAACTTATATAGATGTATTTATTTTACATGAATAAACTATGATAATGATGCTTGTAATTGCTTAACACTTATCCTAACAAAACAACAAAATAAGTTCAAACACGTTAATCCTCATCACTCGAAGACTGCTGCTCTAATGCTCGAAATGGGTCAACTCTTCTGCCTGTTGTGTATGGGCTGCATGCAATGATACCGCAATCCTTCCTCAGAGTTTGTTTCTCAAAATTCAAACACCAGCATGTTTTGAAGTGGTGATTACCATTTAAGAAAAAGTGTCCAACACTTTCACAAAGGAATAATTCAGATGTGCATGAACTACACATTCCATTGAAACAATCATTCCTGTAATTATTGCAGGACATACAGCGTTGCTTCAATGGGTGATCATCTTTCATGCAACACTTGCAGACATCTCTGTAGATTCCAAAATTCGAATTCTCCAGTGCTTTCGCTTTACATTTCGAACATCTTGGGCCACTTGTTTCCTCCAAAATCGGTTCTGGTATTACCCAAGGTGGGCGATTTTCATATACACACACTCTACATAATCCTGTTGATGGATTCATTTCTTCTTTAGAATGAGCTCCATTGCAATTGAAGCACATGACATAGTCATCAATTCTAAATGGAAAAGCTGCAATTTTAGGCTTCGAATCCCAAGACTTCGGAAACGGCATCTTCAGTAGCAGTAGGTAGTGTTCAGTGATACTGTGGAACTGATACTGAAACTTGAAGTTAACTCCTCCTCTCCTTATAGGCGCTAATATGACGTCACACTCCTCCCCACCTAATATGACGTCACACTCCTCCCCACCTCTCAAAATATATAAAAGGCGATGAGGAGTGTATTTGTATCATTCACTTCAAGTATTTTGAACAGTGAAGATACGATAATATACTTACGATGGAGGCTATAACCGCAAAGTTGGAATTTCTTGAGAGCATTGATCTGAATAATCAGCAATTGAATGTAAGTAACACTTTTGAGAATAATTTGCGTACAATGTACTTATTACAATGTTTCAATTTCAGAATTTGGAGATTCCAGTGAATGGACAGGATAATGGAGGTATTGAAGGAATTGCTGTGAGTAATGACCAATCATTGTTTGTTGCATCTAATCGTACATACTCAGTATAACATACTTTTATATTTTAGGATGAAGTTGATATTGATGCCGTGATTCAAGATGGAGAAGAAGATGAAGGAATAGAAGAAGTTGCTGTGAGTAATGACCAATCAATATTTGTTGTATCTCATCTAATCGTACATACTCAGTATAACATACTTTTATATTTCAGGATGAAGTTAATGTTGATGCCGTGATTGAAGGAGATGGAGAAGAAGATGAAGGAATAGAAGAAGTTGCTGTGAGTAATGACCAATCATTATTTTATCCATCTGATCATATCTACAGTTTTTCATATATACTAACTTATAATTATATTTTAGGTCGCCGTTGTTCCTGATTATGTCGATGAAGGGCATGTAGAGGGCGCAATGAATATTGTGGAGGAAATGCGCCACAACTCCCGGAAGATCGAAGTAGCATATACCAGTGAGCACTCGGCGATGTTATTTTGTATAACATCGTCGTCTGTACGGATCCACACGGTGAATGGTTTTTACCATTTATGCTACTAGTGTTTCGGGAACTACATGCCGAGGTCTCGCGGAGGGGAATATAGGCATATCGATACACACTATTCCACCAATCGCGCAGGATTTCCACATCACCAATGCTGTTGGGCATGTGGAAACCGCCTCTTCATCATCAAGTTGGTGGATGTGTGCATCATATGCAACAGTACTCCCGCGTTCATCGACAGACAAAACAGCGACAGCAACAGTGACATTGTGAGTGATGATAGTGACGATAGTGACGATAGTGACAATGACAATGACAATGAAGTGGAAGTGGGTTAGAAAATAAGGAATAATGTATAAACTGTAAGATATTGTAATTGTAAATATATTTTAGAATTCAAGAGTAAATGTAATTTTACGATAAACTGTAAGATATTGTAATTGTAAATATATTTTAGAATTTAAGAGTAAATGTAATTTTAAGATAAACTGTAAGATATTGTAATTGTAAATATATTTTAGAATTTAAGAGTAAATCTAATTTTAAGTATAATTCTTAGTATAATTGTGAATGTGTTTGGTTGTATTTGTAATATTTGTTTCAATGTTTAATATTCGCTAATATGTGTTATTTTTGTTTCAATTTTAATATTAAGATATATTATATTATCATGCGAAACAAGTGTTTTTACACTTATTGCCTTGCGATATTCATAGTCATATTTTTATAGTTATATACATGTATTCATACTATATTTCCTGAATAAATATCTTTATTATGATTATCATTGTTATTATTACTGAGTAACCCATAAATGAATATGTCGCTACATATTGAGTTGATTATTATTCAGTTGCATTCGAAAAGGACAATCATTCTTACCTTTGACTTCAACGTGGAAAGATGAATAATACGATTGATAAGTTCGGACGCAAAAAAAACAGGGGTTCTTCACGCGGCCCACAGGGAATTGGTTTCGTTCTTGATTCTGATGGGAATTATAACATGCTAGGAAAAAGATTGAAAAATGTGGGTGAATCGCTGGATGATACAGATTGTGTTCAATTACATGTTTTGAAGGAACAGATCAATGAAGCGAAAGAAGCAGTCTTACAAGCACTTCAAGCCGCGATTTCATCAGTAATGAGACATGCTGTAGTGCTTTTTGAAAAACAGAACACGGAGATGATGGTTCGAATAAATAATAAGTTGAAACAAATAGGAGACACATTCGAGAAAAAATTGAATGACAATATGAATGACATCAAGAGTTTAAATAATGGATGGAAGAAGTAACGACACCAATCGAATCAACATACTTCCCTATAACCTCTCTATTCTCCCACCACTTCCACCTCTTCTCCATTCCCCACTACCGATATCTTCTGTATATAAATAGAAGAACTCCTCCTCAGTCAGTTAGTGTGAAAAACTAGAATCAAGAGTCGAAATGGAATCAAGACGTGAAGCAGACCAGTCCACCAACCACGACCAATCAACAAGAAGACCAAGACCATCACGAAGGGCTGCAACGACAAGACCAGACAGCCCGGATAGCCCTTTTGAATGCCGTCGTCGTCGACCAACAATTCCTCGAGACGAGTCTCCAGGACCTTGCGACTCGACAGACAGTGTGCACACGGTGATCGTTGCAGAGGGTCATGACCAAAACAATCGTGACCTTCCCGATCAAAGTCATTGGCATTCAAACGACGCTTGGGTAAGAAATTTGTTGAATCATAAGTGGAACAATCCATATAATTGGTATTTTATTTCTTACAGGAAAACGTATCTGATTGGTGGGACTTGCTGGATGGGCTTCGGGAACCAAGAGATGGAGAGATATCCCCCAGATTGCAGAACCATGTGTTGAACAATCAAAATTTCGGAAAGAGACATTAAATGTGATTAGTTAAGTTAATGTTAGTTGATGTTATATATATTTCTAGTTCTAGTTATGGTATTTATTTTATGTATAATAACTGAGAATAATTTTTTTTATTATGATTATATATTGATTATTATTGGAAATATATCCACCTGATACATTATTCGCTTGTAGTTCATGATAATAAGAGGGACTTTGAGACATTGGCTCAAAGGATGAATGTCGCCCGATGGGTATTATCATCCAGTAACGCTCGTGATTGATACGAGATTTAATTTTTCCGAATAAATACACTAATTGAGATTTTAATAATCATTATGGTCAAGTTACTCATGAATATACGCAATGTAATGATTTCTCACCAAAAATGATATTATGCATTTCTTTTTTTTTTTTGTTTTATATGGAAGAGGGGGGATAGGGCGGGGGGGGGCAGGAAAGAGGGGGGGGGGGGAGGCCTACGGCGCCTTCGGGTGCCGATTTTTGTTTTTTATGTGGGCTGCTGCATGTTTCTCTCGACGTTTTGCTTCAGTGTCTTCCATGGCCTTCTCCTGTGTCCGAACGGCGGCTTTTATCCTCAGCTTTAATTCCTCAACATACTGCTTCATTTTATGATACAGGTCTTGATTCGCCTCTTGAGTGGCTGGGATCTCGTCTTCGTCATCGTTGACAGGGGCAATGGTTGATGCGGTCACTACACGGGATTTCAACAGCTCCGATGATCTTTTGAATTTGGCCGGTGTAGGTAGAGGAGCCGCAATCACGATCGGAGCAGAAATCGTGGATGTCGTAGCCGGGGGTGATGATGTTGGGATCGGTTTCCATTTATTTTTTCCACTTCCTGATGGTTCTTGCGTGTCTGCTTTTTTCAAAACCACATCGGAAATGATATTCACGCATGGCCTCTTCCTTCCCCGACGCTTCGCTGGCACTAGCTTCGGCGTCATGAAGTCGGCCATATCGTCCGCATGCGACTCGAATGTTGGAAGCGTCTTCTTGGATGCATACGGCTCGAACTTCGGAAGCGTCTTCTTGGATTGTTTAGGAAATTTATTCGGTCCCTTATTCCTGGTTATTGGCATCGGGACGTAGGGCTCGACCACTTCCTCCTCGCGTACTGGTTCCTCGCGTACTGGTAATGGAACATATGGCTCTATCACTTCTGCCACTACGATTTCCTCCGGTACGGGCGACATCGGCATCGGCGATATCGGCGCCGGTACCGGATCCATCAGGCCCGTTTTCTTGGCGTCAGCGAGACACAACTCGGGGAATAGCGGCCAATCCTCAATGTTGAAGTTCGCCCAGTACGCTTCCTCGGCAGCCTTGTCGTTTGACACATTCCAAACAGACATGATTGTTAAGATTTTTGTATTAAAACTCACGAAAAACAGAAAATAGCGATTACAGCGAATACGCGTGGTGTCTCGGACTAAAGAATAGCTAAGACTGAATCTGCGTTCTTCGAAGATCGACAAAGAAGCGTCACTTCTCCCTCTCCTCACCGAATTCCAAGCCGTGCGCGTCTATCACCGTCTCTCTCAAACACCGTGCGCGTCTATCATCCTCTCTCTCGAACTCGATGCTCAAGATCACACCCGCTTTCTTTCGACAACAAATGTTCGGCAGATGTTTGCATTCTTTATACCTGCCTGTGAGCGCTATGTCCCGAAGATACACACAATGTTATCGAATATTTTTTCAAGGGCCACATTCCTTCTACCTGCTCTCCAACAGCGGACCAAAATTATACCTATAGTCACACAAACCAAGCTCGAATATTTTTCTTTCGAGATATTATATGTATAGGGGTATAGTCACATGAAAAAGCATAACAATGTTAACAAATGATATTTATTTTCTCATAGAAGTTCACAACTGTTAAAGGAAAGTAACATTATAACATGGTAGATATACAAATAAAATACATATGAATTAATTCACATATTCAATTATTCACACTCCTTCTGTAGAAGGTTCAAAAGAATGTCTAGTTTTGCATTCTGATACAGAGTCTCCTGTAATGTTCGGTCAGGTTGATAATGGATGATTTCATAATGTCCCCACGGTAGAGTTTTAGTTGTATTTGGAATCAAAAATCTTTTATCATCATGATAGGATAAAGCAACTTTGTTCCTACACACAGTAAACATATCATGAAGGACACTGATGAATGAATTCATTTTCCTGAAAATCAAACCACCTCTTTCAACTATTCGCTTATAGTCAGAAAAATGTATTTCTCTATCTATGACTGATTTTTTGACACCTTTTGCTTTTTTCAGTTCATTCCTCAATGATTGGACATAATAAGCTTTAGCACCAGTTCCGTAAAATTGCATTATTGGATCAGAAGGAAATTCGTCCTTCATTTTACCTAACACTGACTTTCCTACTGATATTCCAAAGCTATTGCCCACTTTATAATTTGAAGTATCAAAACGATCAGAGTGACTCTCGATGAAATTATAAAAGTTATCTGTTTGGACTTTGAGAATGAGAGAATCCGTGTCGGTATATAATAAGGATGCATTTCGACCAAATTCTCTTTTTATACAATCATAAAAAAAATCATATATTACTGTTTTAGATAGTTCCAAAATGCAGAATCCTAAATATAGTGGTTTATTATAATTAACTTTTACTTTACCCATATGAATTGCTACAAAATTTTCATTGAAAATTGATGCTGTCTTGAAATTTGGTCGTGCAATGAAAGCACCGGCTCCTAAGGTTCTTCGAATATTCTCCCAGTGTGTCAACAGTTTTATGTCACGCCTATTATCGACATTCTCCATCGTCTTTCCATAAACAGCATTATTCATGAGTTTATATTGATCTTTTTCAAATTTACTTTCAGCTTTATTTCTCATTTCGGTATTGAGATCTATGTATTTCTTGAGCCATGGTGACTGATTGAATTGTAGTATTCTATGTATTCTTGTTAAGAGTAAACCATTATCTATTGCCTGCTTCAAATTTTTGTAATGAACAATATATCTTTCCTTGTTATTCAAATTAGGTATAAGTTTTGGGATTTTTGATCTCGACCCTGGCGCAATCATCGATTCTACAAGGAAAGGTAAGTCTGAATGTAGATCGTGCAATTTTTCGGGATATTGAATATCAACTTCTAGTACATAACCTTCAGAGCTCTCATTGGGAATACTCTCTATGTCAAATTCAGATATTTCACTAGTAGACAACCATCGGAAATTATCTGTTGGTAATGATTGACTCATACTGTGTCCGTAAAGATTCGTAGCATCTAGATACATTATGAAGGATTTTGGTTCTTCTGGTTGAAAATTTGGTAAGAACTGATTGTTAGCTTTATGTCTTCTATCACTACATTGACTTATTCCGCCCCGTATTCCTTTTTTAAAGGAATTCAACATGTTAATGTCTGTTAATAACTCCAACTCTACTCTAGTATATCTCAACATTGCATCCCATGATAAACCAGGGGCAGTGTAATATTGCGCAGGGTCTAACTTATAAGTATCCATAGATATGTTTCGAAAATTTTCAAATATGTCGCATAAAAGTAACACATCAGCCTTCAAATAAACATCTGAGTAATCACCTAGTGTATGGCAATTGAATACATTCCAAACTGATTTAGCTAATTCATATTCTTCATTTGTTATATGCCGTTCATTCAAGTTGTCAAAGAAATCGTCTTTTGATGGTAAATCGACATAATCGAGTTTACTCAAATCGTTAACAAAACTATATGGAAAAATCCCTTTTTTTCTCATAATATTGAATTTATCATTATCTGGAAAATATTTACGTGTCACAGAAAATTGATCATCTTTCAAATTCGCACCTAAATTTTGTAATGATGCTGACATGAATCTGAAACTATCTATGAATCTTAACTTCAAGAATACATTTTTGTGTTGACCATCTTTATTGGTATAGTTATCGACTAATAAATATTTAGTGAAAGAAATATATCTTTCTTTTGTTTGAGGAATCACTTCCACCTTATCACCACTATTAAATAATTCTTTGATGAAGAGATGACAGTCATATCCGCTCAGGTTGTGAAAAATTATTGGAATAACATAAGGAATTTTGAAATTTAAATTACATTTTGAGTGGGCAGCACCATATCTTTTTTTTCCAGTAAGGTGACAATGATCATTGACCTTCACATCACCAATTTCGAATGGACTTTCACAAATATTACAAATAGAAGCATCGTCAAATTCTAGTTTCCCCTCAATAGTCAATTTATGCATTGGAACAACGCGTTTCAAGTATTTATCATAGATCTCAGTCAAATCATTCTCAAGTTCCGAAACGAATAATTCCGCAGCATTCTTACCTCTATATGTAACAAACTTAGTGAGTGAATCATCGAATGAACATTTCACCAGATACGCAAATGAATATGGATGGTGTCTATAAGTTTTATTTGTGAATGAAGAGTTCGCATCTGGTTGGCACGTAATAACTGGTTTGAGAATTGATTCGAAATCAGCATAAACAACAAATGGAACACGTAACTGCTTCTCAGAATTCTGAAATTTTAATATATTTCCCGGCATCGTTTTCCCAAACTTATCCAGAATCGGGTCTATCGTAGGCATTGAAGTATAAATATGATTACAATCATGTGACTGATGTTGCAACAAGGATCTCTCATTCTCGAAGTATATCAAACAACCATCACAAAAATAATATTTATGTCCATGAGAAGAAATCTGACTGGAAACTAATCTTGATAGGTCTTTTATCCAACAGTAATGACTATTACCGTCGTCATCTGTCAAGAACAATAAATTGATATGTTTACTGTAACTTTTTCCTGAATAATGAAGAGGTCCGACAATTTCATATTTCAACTTATCTTCTTCATACATTTTCTCTAGACCGTATACATTGATGGAACAGTCATTCAGAGCCTCAAATTTGGGTATATCACGCAATTTAATGGGGAATTCCATACCTTCCAAATTCAATACTGTGGAGAAATATGGATATGATGACACACTGTTGACTCTATTCAAAGCAGGAAACAATGCAGAAGTTACAGCCCAAGCGAAGCAATATTGGTCTTGATTGGCAATATTTATCACGGCCTTCTTCTTCTCAATGAACTGTGGTAGTTTGATGTAGGAACATCCTCTGAGCGGATTGTATTTATTGATGTTCACTTCCAAGAATAATATTTTCTCCAAAGCCCAACCTACAAGATAATTTTCGATTAAAATCATGATCTCCATGAAAAAAATTGAAAATTCAACTCACCAGAATCTCTCTCTTCGAACTCAGTTGCTTGACTCATCATAATATCCTTGAACATGTCTAATATGATTCCCAAGTCACTAGAGCGAGTGACAACATGGTTCGGAGTATTGAATGATTTGATATCGGTCAAATCTTGAGTTTGTTGGATATATCGACCAAACACTTCCATGTTAACTTTGAAAATAGTATGCATCTCTAAGACATTCTCAAGTAATGCAATCACTCTCTGTCGTATATCGTTGAAGAAGATTTTGTAATCCAAAGTTTCATCATCGGAATCCACTCTATAGCTTATTATTCTACATTTGAAAGCGCTTTGAATAATTTTCACTCCTCTAGATAATTGAACACACGAATTTGTTCTATGGTTCAGTGTTCTTCTATGATTATTCATGTTATCTTTGAGCACCATGATGTTGCAACAATTACACAATTCCATATTCGACGTTGATTGCTGCAAATCCAACTTCTGTCGTTTGGGAGGTGATGATGAGCCGCTGGCCTCAGCTAAACAAGAAGTTCTCTCATGTCTTCGCAAATTGTCACGACGCGTAAAAATTTTATGACATCCAACACACTCGTACATGACTCTCTCAAATGTATCACTACCAAGAGAGACTTTGAAATAAACTTCGATTCAGGAAAGTCTCCCTATTTATGTGAATTGAGGAGGGGATTTCATAGGAGGGGATTCATGCATTGTAAAAGCACCCCCACTCTAAATGATCTCGCAACACGTTCACCCATCACCCTCGAGTTAGTCGAGCACCTCGACTCGGATGGATGAGATGTGTATGCTCCAACAGCGCTACACTCTACATTACGACTGTTAAATACCGGTTCAACAATACATGCAAGTATGATGATGTA